TCTTAACAGTCACAGTGGGGGCTAAATTTCTAATACATAAAACTTGGGGGACACAATTCAACTTCAGTGAGTTTTAGGGGGACATAATTCAACCCACTTACACATTCTATTAACTTTTTTTTTATCGTTTAGAAACTGTCAGTTTTTAACTTGTAAGATTCATGATTCTAACATAATGTTCAAAAAGCCCTTTCCCACACAGTGATTACAAAACTGTTTCCTGTGGCACTGTTTAGTACTTTTTGGATTTCCTTTTTCTTTTAAACATTAATATTTAATACATTTGAAAATTATTTCTATGTAAGATGGGAAGTCAGATCCAACTTGATCTTCCCCCTAAGGGGCTAGCCAGTTGTCCTAATAAAATTATATTGTTTATTATTTTCCTAGTGATTTGAAGTGCCACCCAATATTAATTTTCCATGTGTTTTTATCTCTGCATTTTGTGTTGTCTTTTGCATTGGCAATGAATTTTTCATTTCTGAAGTTGTATATTTCATTATTTAGCAAGGTGTTCAGTCCTCCTGTTCTGTTGCAAACTTTCTGGTTTGTTCTTATACATTTGCCCTACCAGATGAGCTTTAAAATTATATTGTTAAGTTAATGAAAATACTAATGTGTTCCCTTAATCGGACTAAATCTATAGATGAATTCAGGGATGGAAGACATAACTCTTTAATATTTTCCCATCCAGGAACCTTACATGCCTCCTTTTTTATTCAAGGCTTCTTTAACTTTCCTCTAAGTTAATGGTTACACTCACATAAGCACTGGAAATGGATATGGAGAACTAAAGAAGTGAAATACACAGTCATTTCCTTGCTTCCATGCCCTGTAGCATTCTTGTGCCCCCAGCTCATTCTTAGGTGACACTGGGGCATGCAGGCGCTGAGAGCTTCACTGCTGCATCAGGGATGGGAGACACGGCATCTTCATCCCTATTTGCTCAGGTTGGAAACAAACTGTCACTAAGTCAGAGGAGTCTGCATGTGGGAGCTGAGCCCCGGTACAGCCAGCGGTGCAGTTGTCCAGCCTCACCTGTGTGTGGGCTCACTTGGTACTGCTGTTGTGGGTTTGAGAGAGCCGTAAGATTGAGAACATGCCTGTGCCAAAACCCAATATTGTCCTTCACCGCCTTTGGACTTGGTGATTGTGGCCAGTTGGCAGAGTGACCATACAATTTGTCACCCAAACTAGAAGACTTTTGAGAGTTAAAGGGGACGGCAGGGACTGCTTCAGGCAAACTGGGATCTAGTCACCCTGTGAACTGAGAACCAACTACAGTGTGACTTCTACTTTAGATGTAAGAATCTCTGAGAACTTGTAGCCTAACCTTGTAGTTTCACAAATAAAGAAACAAGTTAAAGCATCAAATCCTCACATTTGGTTTTATCTCATATCACTTAACTGTCCAAACTGATGACCACAGATTCTTCTGGTCCGAGTGAGTTTCTCCTCTGTCCCCTTTCATTTGGAGGCACCAGGTTTGTTTGGGATTCATACTTCCTTAGCTCTTATTCCTGTGTGTTCATCATACTTCAACATTATCAGCATCCACGGGAAGTGTGGTCACAACCCACCTTGAGGAGGCACCAGACGCGGGCTTGCAGTATTTCATTTGCGCCTGGGTTGGGAGTGAACTAAGCACTTGGTGAAGAGTGGCCTCAGGGTTTTCTGAAGGTGGCTTGTGCTGAGAGTGAGCAGCTGTGAACCTCCTGGGAGACCGGCCATCCGAGTGTAGTGAGGCTGCACAAGGAGTCCCCTCAGGCCCTTCTGAGACCTCAGAAAGACATGCCTCGTTAGAGTTGTGTGAGGCACACTGGGCTTCTCCGTTCCAGTGGTCTTTCTCTACTAGTTTTCTTCACATTTATTTTTTCAGTCTAGACTTAGTAAAATATAATATACCTGGAATTTTAAATATTTAAAACTTCCAGAAGAAAAAGTTCAAGTTAGAATATTTGGGAGGCAAGTCATTGTCTTTGTTATCAATGGCTGCCACAGCAAAATACCACAGACTGGGTGTCTTAAAAAACAGACACTTGTTTCTCACAGTTCTAGAGGCTGGAAGTCCAAGATCACAGTGCTGGCAGATTCAGACCTGGTGAGGACCCGCTTTCTGGCTTACCTGGCTGCCTTTTTGCTCTGTCACGTGGAGGGGAGAAAGAACTCTGGTTTCTTCCTCTTCTTGTAAGTAAGGAAGGACACTAATCCCACCATGAGGACCCCACCCGCATGACCTCATCCAACTGTTATCACCTCCCAAAAGCCCCACCTCAGAATATCATCACACTGGGGGTTAGACCTTCAGCATAGGAATTTTGAGGGGACACACACATTCAGTGCGTAACAGGTATTATGTACAGAAAACTTCATTATCATTGGTATTAGAGAAGAACTTAGGTATGTCTGATCCAACAGTCATAGATAATTCAAAATTTTTAAAAAGTTATATTAAGGCAAATTCATAGTATTTCAAACAACAAATAAATTTCTTGTTTTTCTTAGTCTATTTTTCCTACTTTTTTAAATACATTTTTTAAGGCAGTCCCTTAAGTCATTGATTCCATTGTTTTCTTTCTTTTTTTTTTTTTTTTGGTCAGAGCTGTGTGTATACATTTTTATGACATCAGGGGAGTAGAATTTCTGGGGTTTTTTTGGTGTAGTGACTCTTGGAAGTTGGTTTGCTGTGTCCTTTTCAAGGTTTAGCAGATATTGCTATAGCGAAACCAGTCTCCTTTACTGAGGGTCCTAAGGGTCGCTGCCCGACATGCACCAGCCCACATCTTCC